GGAAGGGGAGGGGTGGGGAGGGTTCAGGTTTTAGGGGAGGGGAGGGACAACTTGGGACAGGACGGTCGCAACGTCCAAGCTTTCAAGGTCCTTGGTGGCGCCCTGGGACAGGGCTTGGTGGGTACGTTTGTGTGGATCGGATCAGGTACCAACTGGACTCTTTTCCAAGAGTCTGCCTTGTTGCGTGTCTTGATTTCGAGAGAAGACCTGATTGCGGGCCAGTCCAGAACATTCGTTTGCACTGCGGTAGAGATAGCCCTCCTGTCTGCGACGGCGCGGCGTCAAAGCGATGCCGACAAGCCATGCGCTTGGGGGCCCTCAACAACCCCCGGCCCCCTACAGGTGCGCCGCAACCTCCACATCGTTCTGAGCTTCTCCCCAGTCGGCGACGCCTTCAGGGAGCGCCTGCGCAGGTGACCCCGTGCAATGGCGGTGCACGAATTTGCAGGGGCGGGCAGCCAACGCACCTGCGACGTGCCGGCTGCATCCTGCACGTGCAGGCCTGTGCTTGGCATGCGCTTCGCATCAGCAGCATGGTTGTAGCGCCGTCCAATTTGGGCCTGCATCCCTGCTGACAGACTCCCCACATCATCCTTCTGCTATACGGTACTCCCCTCTTCACGTCCTCAGGTTCCCGTCCCTGGTCAACTGCACCACAATCGACTGGTTCACCGCTTGGCCGCGTGATGCCCTGCACTCCGTCGCCACCAACTCGCTCGCCGGTGAGGGGCGGTGCAGGGGCTCAAATGGCTCGCACCTGAACTCCCAAGACACACGAAGACACCGGCCTCACATTTCCTCACACGCACCTTCAACTCAGTGGAAGGCACAAACGCGCATGCAAACTTACAGACTGCGTCTGACCATCAAATGGGCAATGCCCATATGGCAGACTATGCCTTGACTGCCGAATTACATTCCGCCCCTTGCGTGCCCAAGGCCTTGTCGGCGTGGACGACGCGGTAGTGCGGGCGCTGCCCGGCGTGGTGGTGGCTTTCCACGAGGACGTGCAGGCGCTGGCGGGGCGCTTCCTGGCAGAGCAGCGGCGCCACTACTACGTCACGCCCACCAGGTTCGCGCTGCGGGCTTGCTGCTCGGGTTTCGGCCGGGGGTTGGGGGTGGTGGCTGTCGACAGGCTCCGGCACGCTGCTTTGCTGGGATCGCGGAGAGCGAGAAGGCTGCTGGGGCGTGCGGTTGGGGGTGAGGGGATTCCTGAGGATGCAGGGGGGCGTGTTTGAAGAGGTGCGGCGCTGCCGCTTCCTGGATAAACCCTTTGAATCGCACATGGCGGTAGGCTGGGCGGGTGTGTGTCTGAGGCAGGCAGGTCTAGTTGTTTGCGCTAAAAGTGACGCAGCATCGTTCTCCTCTGTGATTTCCTTCGCAGCTACCTGGAGCTTCTGGGAAGCTACAAGAAGCTGTTGGGCAAGCGCCAAGATGAGGTACAGCCGTAGTCACCCCAGATTTCTCGATTACTGCTGCCCGCAGCCCGCTTTAGGCCTGTGGCTCCTCATCTTACTGCGATGCCGCACAGTCCCAGCGCCGCCCCCACCCTTCCGAAGGGCTTCGCTGCCTGTAGCAGTGCTAAGCGAGGCCTCGACGTGGATGTGATGACATGCGCAAACCTTGGATGTGCACGTAGGTGATGTCTGCCAAGCGCCGCTATGAGGTGGGGCTGGAGAAGCTCGCGACCACTGAAGAGTCCGTTGCAGGCATGCAGGTGAGGCCGCTTCCCCAGGGGCTGCGCGCGGTGACTGACTACCCACCCCTTCCACGCCAGAGTAGTGACCAGTGTCCAAAATGCTTCACGCACGCCCAGATGTCTTAGCTGGCATCGTGCTCATGCAATCGTCAGGATGGCATCAGCCTCTGACAAACACATGAGAAGGCACACAGCACAGCGGACCACAGCACCGTGCAGCACAGCACAGCACAGCACAGCACAGCACAGCACAGCACAGCGCGGCACAACAAAGCACAAAACAGCACAAAACAGCACAGAAAGTGCCGAATCATGACCTCCGTCCTCCTCTGCCCATGCCCTGTCACCCGCAGGCGGAGCTCACGGCCCTCCAGCCGCAGCTCGAGGAGAGCGGCCGCGAGACGGCCGCCGCGATGGCAGAAATTGCCGAGCGCAGCGCGGAGGCCGACAAAGTGAAGGAGGTGGTGCAGCGGGAGGAGGCGGCGGCGGCCGGGGAGGCGGCGAAGGTCAAGGCCATCAAGGACGAGTGCGAGGCTGACCTGGCGGAGGTAAGCGCGGGGCCCCTGCCCTCGCGGGGCTTGCTTTTGGGCGTCCGCTGCGGAGCTGCTCACCTCGCGCACAAGCAGGCCTCAAACTGCGCCCGCGCTGCAATTTGGTGGTGGTGTCTTGCGCGCCGGAGCTGGGCTCTCAGCCGGCACGCCCCGCCCACGATGGATTCCTTGTGTGGCCAGGCATTGCCCGCGCTCGAAGCGGCCCTGCGTGCGCTGGACACGCTGACAAAGAATGACATCACCGAGGTGAAGGGCATGAAGAGCCCGCCATCTGGTGAGGGCGTTGCCTGGAAGCGCACGGGGTGGCGGCAAACAGAAGTTCCCCCCCTCAAAATTTTCCAGAAGCTCCTGCACCTGCCTGCTGTCAGCACTACTTTCAATTGCATTTTGTGCTCTTGAAACAGACGTTTCACATCCCCCCTTTTGCAACACGTTCGAAGTTCACAGCTCACCCTCCCTTATGCACACGTCCACCCAGGCGTGAAGCTGGTGCTTGAGGCCGTGTGCATCCTGAAGGGCGTGAAGCCCGTGCGGCTCAAGGACACCAACACCGGCCAGATGGTGGACAACTATTGGGAGGCGTCAAAGAAGATGGTGGGCGGCCTGTCAATGGACATGTGTAAGGGGGACGCATCCACTCCGTTGCCGTGCAAGGGGGGCAGCTGGGCGCGCATGGTGGCGTGCTTGCGCCTGATTCCAGCAGCTGATGGCTCGAACCCCTCGCCGCGCCGCTCCGTCCCTCTGCTCCTGCGCGTCTTGCCCCGTCGGCAACCCACTAACCGACCCCAAAACCTGCTTCCGAAACCGCCCCGTGGCAGCTCATGGAGGACGACTTCCTTGGCGGCCTCAAGCGCTACGACAAGGACCACATTGACCCGGGGGTGGTTAAGAAGATCCAGGCGTACGTGGCAAATCCCGATTTCACGCCTGACAAGATCCAGCAGGTGAACAGTCGCTGCTTGGGGGGGGTCGATTGTTGCTGGAGGATCTCGGGGTGCGTTCGGGGCTGGGGGAGGTTGGGGCCGGCGCCAGGCAAGATCCGGCAGGTGCAGGGTCGGGGTTGGTGAGCGGTGTGATGGTGATGGGAAACGGACAGGGTCGGCCAGAAGAACGGGGTCGGGGTATGTGGACGCGCACCTAGCTAGTGCACCTGAAGAAGGCTGGCGCAGGGCCACCAGCATGCAGAATATGCGAGCTGACGCGCCGCCGCCCGCCGTGGCGCCCCGCTACGTGGCGCTGTTTGGCGCAGGCGTCTCAAGCGGCGTACGGGCTGTGCTGCTGGGTGCGCGCCATCGAGTTGTATGACAGGTGGGGACGTCCTGGGGGGCGGCACGCTTGCGTTCAATAGGTTTGGGTGCAATGCCTGCCGCTCTGCGCGAGCACGCTCAATCCCAGGCCCTGCAGTCAGGCCTTCTGTGACTTTTTTTTGCGCTTGATTGACCACATAACAACATCTTCATTTCTGCTGTCGCTCTCTGGCGGCACCAGGGTGGCCAAGGTTGTTGCCCCCAAACGGGCGGCCCTGGCCGAGGCAGAGGCGCAGCTTGCCACAGTGAGTTGCTCACCCACCTATACAAGGCAGTGCGTGAGGCGTGCATTTGTGCGCATGTCAGCCCACACCCGACGCTCACTTGTGCCAGCGGCTGCGGGAAAAAAATGCTCTAACAATGGATGTTGTGACAGAGGAGCTTGTCACTCAGATTCTGGCCTGCAAACCAACCAATCTTTGCACCAAATTAACAGGCCTCTCACCCTGTGATGGATGCCCTGCCGCCCCCAGGTGATGTCAGCGCTGGCCTTGAAGCAGGCGGAGCTGAAGAAAGTGATGGACCAGCTGGCGGCGCTGGACAGAGACCTCAGAGTGGGCGCGACGCTGGGGGGGCTGCAGGGAATAGTTGGTGGCATGAAGATATGTATGCCTTCTTTGGCATCAAGTGGTCCAGGCTCGGGGCCCCTATTTCATGGGTGAAGGCACGGCTGTTGAGAGTGGAGCAGGAGGTCTGTCCAGGGAGAGATGGGGCGTCCTCCACTGCAATAGTTGGCGCTGCAACCCGCTGCCTGGCATGCCACTGTCTGATTTCTGCACCCGGGCCCCACGCCGCGCCTAATTGACCCTCTTGACGGAGTGCAGGAGAAGACTGCGCGCAAGGAGTCGCTGGAGCGGGAGGTCGAGCTCTGCAAGGTCAAACTGGACAGGGCGCAGAAGCTCATATCGGGTGGGCGGCCCCGCCTCCTCGTCTGCCAAGCAAGCCAGCTGCGCGCGCCAGGAGAAGCGCAATGAATCCTGGGTTGAGAGCAAGTGCAGTGGCGGTGTTGCCGTTGTGTAAAGTGCAAGAAGAACACTGCATGCGTGTCAGTTGAACCCCCCCGTCCTCACCCCTCCCGCCATCCCCTCTTTGTTCATCCGCGGTTCGTGATGACCAGGGCTGGGGAGTGAGAAGACGCGCTGGCGCGACGCGGCGGCGGCGCTGGGGCGGCAGTACGTGGCGCTCACAGGGGACGTGCTGCTCGCCGCAGCTCAGATCGCCTACCTCGGGCCCTTCACCCAGGGCTACAGGTTGTTGGGTTGTCGGTAGCAGTGTTGAATCGATCGTTGATTCAAATTCCAACAAACCTGTTGGTTGATTGGGCATTGCCGTGGATTTCACCTCAGCTCCGTGAACCCTGAAATATTGGCGCGGATTGGGACCGCCTACTGCCCTCCTGCGCCGTCCTTGATTGAGCGCCACCCCCCCCCCCCCTGCGACAGGTCCGAGGCGCTGCGCTCCTGGGCGGCGTGCTGCACCGCGGCCAAGATCCCGTGCCACGAGGGCTTCCGGCTGTCGACCGCGCTGGGGGACCCAGTCAAGATCCGACATTGGAACATCTGTGGCCTGCCAAAGGTGATGGATCAGGCAGAATTGTGGTGTACGATGCGCCTGATGGTCAAAGGGGACCCGCAGCGGGCGTGCTACGGTCCCTTTGCAGGAGGCGAGGTAGAGCGCGCGGGGCGTTGCGGTGGCTGGGCTGCTGGTCATGGCTTTCAAGGTCGCCTGCTTGACGGGGCTGTCCTGGGCTGATGCGCAACATTGGACGACACATAACCTTGGACGATGGCACGCTCGCTGAACCTGCTCTGCTTGCAGGACGACCTGTCGGCGGACAACGCCATCGCGATAGACCAGGGGCGCCGCTGGCCGCTTGCCATTGACCCACAGGCAAGGCCCTGCCCTCGCAAGCATTCCCTTGGTTGGTGCCGACATCAAGTGCAACTCTGAAGAGGCTGTCCGTGCGTTGCCAATGCAGGCTGCACACGCACGACACTCACACACACACGCGTACATGCGTACACACACACACACACACACATGCAGGGTCTGGCGAACAAATGGATCAGGGCGCTGGAGAAGCAGGCCGGGCTTCTGGCAGTGAAGCAGAGCGACCCCAGCTTCCTGCGCACCCTGGAGAATGCCATCCAATTCGGTGCGCGCCGCCCCGGCAGACCGCGGCAGCAGGCACCGCTTTGCAGCGCTTGCTGCCTTGTCTGCTGCTGCTGCATTGCGTAGAGGGGGGTAGGCGCTGCAAGGAAGCACTTGTTGCACTGCGCCCATAATCCTGGCAAAGCCGTGTTGCTGCTTACGGTGGCATGCATGTACTTGATATGACAGCACAGATACCACTGTGGTCTCGTTTGCTGCGCTTGCACACTATGTATCCTTTCTGCGCCCTCAACGCCACCCCACCCCAGGCAAGCCCGTGCTCCTGGAGAACGTCGGGGAATCTCTGGACGCATCGCTGGAGCCGCTGCTGACGCGCGCGGTGTTCAAGCAGGGCGGCACGGCCTGCATCAAGCTGGGCGACGCCGTCGTGGAGTACAGCGAGCAGTTCAAGTGAGGCCGAGCAGCGCCTGTGCATGGATGCGCGGGCGTCTGAAACTGGGGCGCTGCCGGCCGGCCGTCCTGGTCGGGAATGAGGAGGCCCAGAATAAGGGACGGCTAGCACTGGCGTGCGGCCGGGCACAAGCCAGCATGCGCACTGCGAGGGGGCTGGTGAGACGGATGGTCCCGTGTTGGCGGGCAGGCGCCTTTGCGGCACTCAACCCCCGCTGGCCCCATGGCAGCAAGGCAGGTGCACCCTCCTGTTGCAGATTTCCCTACCCCGTCCTCGCCCCGCTGATTGTGACTTCACAACCATCTCCTCACACCACGCCTGGCTATCCTGCCTGATTTTTTTGCGGGTTGTATTTCTACAAAGGTCTTGGTGATCGTTCTATGATGTTTGCCCTCCCCCCCTCCCTTCCCCTGCAGGCTGTACATCACCACTAAACTTCGCAACCCCCACTACGCACCGGAGGTCTGCACAAAGGTACGCAGTGTGGAAACGCATGCATGCATTTTGCTCCATCGACAATACTTTGACTGCACATGTTACGTCCTTTGGTTTGGTTTGGACGTCGAGACTTGCGCTGCGTAAAGGTGATGTCGTTTGACGCTCAGCCGGCAAGGGGCGGCCGCCTCCATCATTATCCAATCATCCCCTGCCGCTCCATCGGCCGCCGGCTTTTGGGGGCGTGCCTGCGCCTGCACCCTACAGGTGTCCCTGCTCAACTTTTCCACCACCCCTGAGGGCCTGGAGGACCAGCTGCTGCAGGTGAACGCTGGTCAAATTGAAAAGCTGACCACAGTCCAGGCCAGAATTGCGCTCCTTCCTGGCAAGCTGCGCCATTGTGGGGAGGCATGATGTTTGCCAAGAGACGCAGTGATCCATCGAATTGATGTCAAAGAGACAGCACTGCAGTACCCAGGATCTACCGCTTGATGCAACCAAATGACAAAGCGCTGCCCACCATGCAGGTCCTGGTAGCGGCCGAGCGCCCAGATCTCGAGGAGGAGAAGAACAGGCTCATCCTCGCGGTGGGCACGCATCATTATCTGCACCGTGCTGTGCAGGTTTTAGTACCCGTCACTGCCAAAAAGGGACCAGAAGGCCCCTCCAGGGCACCTGCAAGGCCGCTGATTCCCATCAGAACACCATCAGAATGCAAGAAAAAACAGACAGAATTAGATCTACGCTGAACATCCCTGTCCGGGTTGTGCCATGGGACGAACCGCCACAGGGTGCCGCCAACAAGCGGCGCCTCAAGGAGACCGAAGACGAGATCCTGCGCGTGCTGAGCAGCAGCAGCGGCAACATACTGGAGGACGAGGCCGCGGTCAACGTGCTGCAGGTCGGTCAACGGACGGCTGCAGCAGTTGGAGGGGTGGTCACAGCCATGCGCCAAAAACGTGCAATGGGGTCAACGGGTCAGATGTCAGGCCATCATGAGGCTGCAGCATGGACGCCTAAATTGTGGGAGCACATTGCGGCATGCCGTCCCTTTCTGGACACAACACGCCATGAACATAGCCGCAAGCCACAAGTGCGGCCCAGTCAAGGGCACACCTTTCCAAGGGTTTCACTCATCCACGTGCTGAGCCCCGAGATGCTGCTCTTGTCTCCGCCCCCAAACACCCCACCCCTCAGGCGTCCAAGGTGTTGGCCGATGACATCAAGGCCAAGCAGAAGGTGGCCGACGAAACGGAGGCCCAAATCGACACGGCTCGGCAAAGCGCGTAGCTTCGCTGCGCAGGCCGGGGCGCGGCGGGGCGGGGT